TAATAATGGGAGTATAGCGATATGGTGTATTTAACTTATATTGAAGTAATGGTGTGTACATTTGTTAGTATTATTTATGATTATTGTTCCAATTTAACTTATTTTATTAAAATAAAAATAATAATGATGACTCGAAGCTCAAAAGACAATATTACATATCAGTCTTTTCGATTATTCTTTTTTCCTTTTACTTTTATCAAATTAGTATGGAACAGTTTGCGCAATTAAAATTCTTACGCTCGCGTGTGAAAACATAATTGTTTTGAAATGTCTATTTTTACATGTGAAAACTTTTATATTTACATTTGAAAAATATTGTAAAATTAGTATCATAAAATTTGTATGGTTTTATTGAAAAAATATTTGTTTAATAATTTCATTATAAATAGCTACAGTAGTTAATTTACCTTTTAATATTAATAATTTAATTTGAATTTTGTAAGATTATTGATTTATATTATTAAAGATATAATTTTCATTCAACTAATTGTAATTAGATAACATTTTTTAAGATAATATAGAATATTATTGCGTTTTTGATATGTTTATATTAGTTCAGAAATAAATAAAATTGTTCAATACAAAGCAGATCTTAAGTTAAGAATAAAAAATTGTTGAAACATCACAATGTTAATAATTAATTTTATAGCATATCATAGGTGCTATATGCATACAGCATATAGGTGCACGTACGTGTATGTATGTGAACTTTATAATTATAGGTTTTATAACTTATCATAAAGAACGTTTGAGAAAATGTATATAAAATTAGAATATTTAGTAGAATAAAATTACGAAGAAAATAAAAACATAGAAATTAGAATAGAATAAAACACGAGACAATTACTTTTGCTATAAAATACACATTAAATAAAAGTGAAGTAAAAATAAAGATAAAAGTTTATATAGAGAATCGAAATAAAAATTTCCCTTATTTATTTATATATTCGTTATTCAAATCGTAATTGGTTAAATCTATATTTATTTAAAAATTAAATAATCTTCTATTTTGCAAAATTATTTGTAATATATTAAAATAAATTTGATATTTTTTATGTCTATAGTTATTCCTGCAAAAAGTAACTCAATTGCTTTGAATTGAAATTCAAATAAAAATAAAATAAATAGTGATGTAGTGGAATAAAGTGCACAGCCTACACTTTAGTAGTATAATAATAATTTGTGTTCCTCTAGAAATAAGAACGATTAAGTAAAAAATCAATCAGAATATCGAACTTATTTTAACAATTAGAAAATAAGGTAAACAGAATTGGGTATTACAAAATTATGCAATAATTAAGTTTTATTGCAAAATGTTAAGGTAGGCTTAAATTATTGAATTTGAACAGAAATGTATTTTTAAAATTTTATTTTGGCTTCGTATTCGATTTTCTTTTCTTATATTATAATTCTTATAATATCTTCCAATATATCAGCAAAACATTTTAATCGCAATTTTACATTTAACATTGAGTTTAAAACTACATTTATTTCCCATGCAACGATGCTGATATTTATTACAAGAAAGTTATCCAAGTTTTATGTTTAATAATGCACTAAAAATATTGATTTTTAACATATGCTTTCCAGTTAAACTGTACTTATGATAATTTTTACTAATAAAATTCTTTAAATTAAGCTTAAAAATTAATAATAAATCATTTGACAATCATTCAGAAATATAAAATGATTTTGCTCTTATTAATTTAAATATTATACATTTGCAAATATTGGTATTTGAAATGTATATTGACATTATTAATCATAAAAATATTTATATTTTCATATATACCGTTTATACATTATTCATAGTCAAAACTTATCCTTAGTATACGAGTGAATTAGCTTAAACGAAATATTATAAACGAGTAAATAATAATAATTAGATTAAATAATGATAATCATTAATGGCATGATGAATTTAATGTCTTGTATGGATTTTATAAATATTACAGTGAACATGGGATTTTCTATTTAATTTTTGTAGTTGCTCATAGTAAAAAACACCATTAATGGTCTTATTAATTTTTTTTTATTCCCATTAAAACTTTCTCATCCACGACATTATTGTATGCAATGATGATCGTGTATTAATAATTATCATCATTATTGATATTTATAAGGATAATTATTAGCAATAACTATCCACAGTAAAGTTTTATAATTTTTTTTTTTAATCGGCTCGTAGAAAAAAAATGACACTTAATTTATTTTAAGTGTATATGTTAATTTTTTTCATTTTTTGAGGTTAAGTGAAATGGTGCAAAATTTTTTTTTACGAACATAATATTTGAAATGAATTTTCGTATAAAGCTGTTGAAAATTCAATTTAATCAGTCGGTATATCAAGCATTTTAAATAAAATTTTTCAAGACAGTTGTAAATTACAATTAAATCTTACTGAGATATGTTCAAATTAAGTCTCGTTAACTACTTTAAAAACTTCGTATTTGGATAGGACGTGAAAAATGTTGCACTCTATCTACTCTTTAAGACGCAGATTTGGTTGTTACAATATAATTACCCTCATAATTAATACCTACAAATTTGTATACGCTTACATATTTGATGATACTGAAGTCGCGTATTTCGCAATAACGTATATATGTAATTAATTATCACGCTCACATAGTTATAACAATTAAAATAAACTTTTTTATATAAATGGGCGGCAGTGCTAATTGATTACACAGATGCACCTACCGTAGGACCAGTACTTTACGCAATTTTAATTTTTTTGCTTTTTAATACTTTGAGTTTGTTTATTCAGTTTTGATTTTTCTTTCGCATTTTGAGTAGATGTTTTCTTACACATATTCTATTTACAATTTACAAACGAGTTCGAAGATTCTATCGTTTATTTTATCATCGTTTTTCGTTTATTATTAATGTTTATGATGATTTTTAAGCGATACGATTGACATGACCATGAAACGTATAGGCATCAATTTAAAATTCACTTAAAAAACTTGTAAAAGTGTTATTGATTTGAAATATGCAAGTCATAATATTTAATGCTTCTATAATCAAAAGTAATATATATTAAAGTTTCAATATATTTCATTACTATTTTATATTTATATAAAATACTAATGAAATTTACATTTTGTAAACAAATTTAATTATAATTATTTTTATAAATATTCGTGATGTTTAAAATTAGTAATTTCTATTTTTTGTTAATATTATTTTATCCATAAATATAAGCCATTTGATGATAAAGATTTATTAAACGTTTATTTTTATTACAAAAATTTTTTAAATTATTTAAAATTTACGATTGTTTAAGAATTATTATATAGCATAATTTAAAATATAAAACAATGTGTGTAATTACTAAAAATATTTAATAAAATAAAATTGTATAAATATTTCAAGTGAATAATGTGTTGCCATAATTTTGACTTTCGTTAAATATGGATTTGAATTTTCTGAGTCCTTATTTTGGAATGCTGAAAGTTATAAAATTTATAAAATGCAAATATTACATAATATTCACTAAACTTATGATTTTCATGGTAAATTTTTCGATTAAAGATTCTTTTCCTTTAATATTATTATCATTAAAGAAATTGTTTAGCAATAAAATAAACCCTCATCGAATATATTTCATAATATCAAGACATTCAAGTTGTATCTTATACGTGTTTGGATTATATTCTAATATCATAATGAACATGATTTTCAAAAATATATACCATTATTAATACCTCTGTTAGTGTAAGCAATTGATTTTTTTTATTTTTATGTATTAATATACAAAAAACACTCATTATTACATTACTGTACAATATATAAATATACTGCTTAGGAACAAGATTATCCTTTAAGGGCATTAAAATATTTGAAAAATATTCTTAACAAATGCATTAAATTTTAATCAATTTACCGTTCCTTACATTTACAACGCACGTGTTTTATCAGTAAAAAAACAATGATTATTAAAGAATGAAATATTGATTTCAATTTTTTTATAATAAACTAAATAAATATTAGTACAATATAAAAATGTCTTACTTAAAAAATGATTTGGAGTAGAGAGTACTTTGAATTTATTATTGAATTATTATAATTGATTAAATTATACAAGTAGTAGTAGAATTCAATAGATTTTTATAGGTGTCTCTTAGTTCCATCAATAATATGTTTAATTATGTATGTACTTCACTTTATTAAATATCCCATACTGTCGTGTCGATGTAGGTAAAATGTTAACGTAACCGTTGGTTCTTCAATTATTATTATTATTGTAAACATTTTAAAGTACTTAGTTTTATCATTAGACATTTCTATGAATTCGATCGAATTAAAATAATGAATACATATAGGGAATAACGTAGCGAGAATTTATAGAAAACATGAAATTTACCTATTTTCAATATCATGAACTTGAAGAATCATGAGCTTAATGAATTTTAGTAAATCAAATAATATTACAAACAAAATTATGAAAAAAAAAAAAAAAAAAAAAAAAAATTGCCAAAAATAAATAACGAATTTTTTAGTCGTTATGACTTAGTATTATTATTCAATATAAAAAATCTGAATTATGTAGAATTAATTAAAATGATTAAGAATATGAATGATCTATTTATATAATTTTATTTAGAATCAACAGTGTATATATAATCATATATTTATTAAAATAAGTAAAAATTTAAGGGTCGTAAATTTAATAGTGAGTAAAGATTTCTGAACAGCTAAACAAGTGCTTATCCCTACGCTTCAGTTGTCTGAAAATATTGAAGAATACGTAATGAAGCTTGTGATTTTATTATTATCATTTTTATTTTAGTAATTATTTAGTATTAAGAACCTTTATTTTAGATTGTAAAACATCACTTTAAGAATAAACATTGCTTTCACGTCGTTAAAACAGTAAAATTGAAATCCTTCCACATAATGTTCATCCAAATGCAAATAGAAGGGACTCAGAAAGTTCACGAACGAGAGCCAAAATAATCGCCATAGTCCAGGACACCATCAGGAGCAAATCATCCCGTTGTCCTCGCGTTATGTGCCATAGTCCGGGTTGTCGTCGTCGTTTGGCTGCTGGGCCTCGGTCCAGTAACCGGGTGAGGCCGGGGCCCAGGGCACGGCGACGTCGAGCATCGCAACTCCGGGTCTGTTGCTCTGGATGAGTTTTGGCGACTTGGGTGGTGATTCCGCGAACGTGACGTTGCGCCGTGAAAGTCGCTTCAAAGATGGGGGTGGCGGCGATCTCGGCAGCGGCATCGGGCCCGAGCAACTGCTCTCGGCGACGTTTCCACCTGCACTGCTGCTATTACTCCTCATTACACCTGAGTGTGGGTATTGCTGTGTACCTGGTCGACCTCGGCATTGCCAATCGCGTTCGCTGGTGCGTAATACTGGAAAAAAAAGAATAGCGACGTCGGACGTCGTTGCTCTCAGGTGGATTTGTTTATTTGTCTTTTTTTTAATTTTTTTTTATTTGTTTATTTGCTGATTAGGTGGATTATTTTGGAACATGGGAGTTGCTAATTACAGATTCAAACTCTATTTTAGACTAAATGACTGTTTTAGTTATTTAAAACATTAAATATGGATTAATAATTTTCTAATGAATACTTCGAAGTTTTATCCAATACTCATAAAGTGGATTTTAATAATTATTACGTTGAATATGATTAAAAACACTTATTTTGGAGTAATGTAATCGTTGTGAAAGTAAAACTAAGATACAGATATTCAATCTCTTTTAACGGATATTTTTTTACACAAACATTGTAATATAAATAAAAGCTAAAACATAAAAATTCTTAACAATATCTATACAACTGCAATATTGTGACTTCAATTATAATGAAATTTAGATTAGTTCACAAACTTCGATAATTAACGTAACGATTATTATGTTATATTTCATAATATTAATTTCTAATAGATATTAAGCGACTACTTATTTATATTCATCGTTTAATCAATAATAATATATAATTGGATTAGTATATATATATATTGGCTTGACAATCATGCTTTAGAAATCCAGTGATGGTTAAGAATAACTAAATTGCTCAATATTTTATTTATAATTATTTCAATTACATTTCATTTAAACGTACATATAATATTGCAAATATATAATTTCATCGATATGTGCTATGATTTTTCCTTGCTAATAATTCTGTTTTTGTTAGTATACATGTATTTCATAAAACTTAAAATATACACATTTACATTATGCATTTAAGTCGGATTGTTGCAGCTCGAGACTTAGCATTAAGCCATGCAGCTTTTCATGTACTACAAGTTCCTTAGAAGATATATTATTAAAAGCAAAACGATGAAGGGCAAGAATAAGGGTGTGCGGGAACGGAGAATGTGAGCGAAATTAGGATTCGGTATAACTGAAATACAATGAAATTCAAGATATTACAGTTTAGATCGAGGACGATAAAACTTAAGTTAAGCGGTGTATTATTTGCCACATGAAAAATATGCTCAAATCTTAATTTAAGAATTAAAACATTTATGCGCTAAGCCTTGATTTCAAATTCAAAATGATAGCTTCATTGTCAATTAAATAAAATAACTGGAATGTACTTTTTTAGTATATTAGCAGATTATATTGATTAAAAGTTTATTCAATTTATTTATTTGGATATTATAATTATTAATATAAATATTTATAAACTGCTTTATTACCAAAAAAGCATTCAGGCTTTACCAATAGTATTTAATTTATTGTCTACCTGATATGATCTTAACAGATTCATGCTATTAATTAAAATGATATTAATTTAAATTAATATTAATTTTGGAAATTACATATCCAGCATTGTTACTTTATTTTCGAATTAATTTGCCATGCAAAAAAATAACAGAAAAAAAATATTCCCAATGGTAAAGTCTTAATATTAATTAAAAGAATATCAATAAATTATAATTTATATATTTACAACAAATACAAAAAAAAATTTATAATTAAAAGTGAAAATAAGTTTATACAATTCCTTCATTATTGTTGAATATCATGCTTCATCTACTTCACTATAGAGCTACAAAAATTCTAATGAACTAATGTTCAATACATTACATAACTAAGTAAAATAAATTTCTAACGATATAATCTATTGGAATCAGGTCTACAAGGAAAACTTAAATTATTATTATTTGCAAAGTAATAAAAATTTATCTTCAGGAATAAATGGCTCCTAAAAGAATAAAGCTTCTGTATGTGATTAATTTCTAATACCATCTTAAGAAGTTTTTATATTCTACGGATTATCTACATGAAACACTGGAAAAACAAAAATTTAAAAAAATATTGCTTCCAATACAATAGCTGTTTTCGATAAATTTTCGCAATCTCTCGTTACAAAAATGTTCATAAAGCCAAAACGTAAACGAGTACAAGAAAAGAAAATAGTAAATAAAACTTCCGCTTTTATTGCTGTATAACTCGGATAATTCTAGGGATAAAGCAAAGAAGAGATAGATAATAGTGGCACTGAATCAAGGACGAGTACTCACTTATGGTCCCGGGTAAGGCGCATGCATCCTCCGTCTAACTCTGCAGTCCGTACCACTAGAGACAAGAAACAAAAAGTAAAACGAAAACGATAGCGCAGCTTTCTACATTTAGCCTTTGACTCGTACGCATTACAAGAGACGTAATGATATATGGAAGCGATGGTTCATTTCGGATTAGTAAAAAATAAATCAATATGAGATAAGAATTGAAAAATTACTGTTCAATATTATCTAATACATGATATCTAATGCATGAAGAATGACAAGGATGATCGAGAATGAAGTGTTTATTAATATATATTAATATATATATATATATATATATATATATATATATAGGATGATCGAGAATGAAGTGTTTATTAATATATTATTAATATATATATTGTATTTATGCGCGCGCGCTTTAGTGCATGTGTGTGGCGCGTGCGCTTAATTGTGCGTATGAATGTTTATATGTGTTTATATATACATGTGTGCGTGCGCGTGTGCGTGCGCGCGCGCGTGAGCGTACATTTGCGCCTGTGTACATACATATGTACATATATATATATATATGTATATATGCTTATACATGTATAGATATTTATAGAGAAAGACGCAACATCCAGCCAGATGCACGTAAGCTCTCAATAAATAAGTACAAGTAGGTTAGCATGAAATAATGAGATTTTTAAATAGCAAATTTGGATTAAAGTACTGATTTTTTGTTTATTTATTCTACAAGTTGTCGTTTTTAAATCAATAATCAAAACGAGAAATTCATGATGTAAACACAAATAAAATGTATTGCTCGATATGGTTACACGTAAGTTAAAAAATGATTTTGTTATTATTATAAATTAACTCTTTGTTTCAACCTTATGATTAGGTGGTAGTCGTAATTTTATTCAAAAGATACTTAAGTTTTCATATTAAAGAGCTCAAAGAGAACTAAAAACAATGCGTTAACCTTATTGTTAGGCTTTCTCTTTAACTTATAACGACGTGTTAGTGTTAATGTATATACATTTACTTTATCATGTACTCACTGCTCGATTTGCGAATTACATATTGACTCGTCTATCAAGTAGTGAGCGGTACCAAGAAAGCCTTAAAGTTTGCTTATCTAAATGCATGCCAAGCATATAAATCTATACACGTAGAGTTACGAGTGTGATTATAATTAATTACTTGCTAAGTGCTAAAAGAAATACAAATGAAGTATATAAGTATATGGTTGAAAAGTCTTAAATTTTAAACTCGCATCTCCTTCTCTTAGCACTTACTCCCTTATTATTTAATACTCTGATATATTCTCATAATAGTAAAATATTTGAATGTAATTTAAGCCAATTTTAAGCGTGATTATGCGCATGAATATCGACAAATTTTTTTAAAACAATATCCCACTTACCCGGCCATTGTCGAAATCTCGACCACCTCCGATTGTCAGGCGCGCTTTTGCCTTCATCGCATCCGACAGAGGAATCTAAAACATTAGTTTCTTATTTTACAGTTAGCTTGCGAGTTAGAAATATTATAGCTAATATTCAAAAATATCTGTTCGCATAGTGAAGTGATACGTTATACTTTTGCTTAATACCCAATAATTGGATTAAATACCAAATAAGGCGCGACGAAAATTCAAAAATACTCGTCCATCAAATGAAAGTGTCTCATATGTATTCTTTCGTTTCAGCAATAAAAATAAAATCGTCTTATAAAATTTATTTCGATATTTTCACTCTGCGACACGATTTATTCACACTGACATCAAAATTTACTTTTCATGAAATTATAATCATTGTTTTTCAATAATTTGAGTTTTAATAATTAACTGTATATGTAAGATGCAAATAATGTAATTAAGAAATTTTCAAACTAGCAGGATTCTAATCGAAAATTATTATTATAATTTATTAATTTATTAAGATAATTTATTATTCGCATATAATTAATATAAGTCGAATTATCCGTATATATATATATATATATATATATATATATATATATATCTATATATATATATGTATATATATAATGGAATTCAAGAAACCCCTATCTCAATGACTTTCTCAATGTAATGATCTTATTATTGATTTATAAGAATTGAAGAAGATCATATTTTAATTGTAATTCTAAAAATAAATGTTTCATAAAAGTATGATTTTCTTGTCAGTGCATTGACTTCGTGGGCGGCTTAGATCTTTACCTTTGCTCTGGTGGCTTCGGTGTGCGACTTGTAACAAAATTCCACGAGAGCAACAGCAAGAGCAAGAAGAAGACCGCCGATTAGAATGTAGAAAATGCCGGCGACATTGCTGAGTAACAATTCGTTCCTCGACGTATCTTGCTTATCGCCGTGTCTACATTCCGTACGTTCGTACCACCATTTGTTCATTAATTTAGCCAATTCGCCACTTTCCTTCAGCGATAATACGGCCAGATTTATACTGTCTCTATTAATGGAAATTTAATGCTATTACTAAGCCTTGAAATATTAAATGTGGTCATCTTGGATTTATTATTTATTCCAACATTATGCATTATATTATTGATATATTTATGAAAATGCATTTTTTTTTTTTTAATGTCAGTAAATGTTAAAAAAATTAAATATTTCATATACATATATATGAAGATATGAAAAAATTAGGATATTTCAAACTGAATTTTTTGTAAAAAAAAAAACTTATTTCAGTTTTTAAATGATCTAAGAATGAATCTATGATTTTTTGTTACTACCAAATAATTAGTCCAAGGAATTAATAATCCACATAGATGTAATTATTCTTTTCTTACGTGTTAATTATATAGGATGATTAAATAGTTTTAAAATTTACAGAATTTTATTGAAATTTACAGTGGCCTATTACTAAACATATTAATAAAAAAATTCGTTAACGACATGTTAAATAAGATATGTTAATAATAATCACAGATTTTCCACCAATCGTTTCATTATATTGCAATGAATGTGAAAACGATGTACAAGAATGCTAAGTATTTTAGAAGAGCGCTAACAGATAATTAATTTGGTACAAAAAAAAGAAAAAAAAAAAAAAAACGATTACTATATAATACAGATTGTTATTAATTATAAACGTTAAATATTTAAAGCTCAAAAATATTTTTCTTCGACTGGTGTATTCATACAAACATTCGATATTGATCAATCGATTAAAATATAATAATCCATTCAAATTCTTCAAACAACCGAGTTTTTTTATACTTAACTCCACGTAAGAATTTAATTTTTTTTTCCAGCAGGAAAGAATCTTTCCAAGAATTAAAGTTCTAAATTTCAGAAAATAAAATAAAATGTGCGATACTAATGTGCGAAGCTGGTGTCGTATTATTGAATGTAACAACTGCAAAGTTTTTGCGATAGAAGGTATGCGAATGGATTTTATATGAAACAGGAAAGAAGAACAGAATTTAATTTACCTCAGTGGCGAGCCAAGTGGCGTAGCGATTCCAAATCCCTTGGCGTCGAGATTCCTCCCGACTTTCATAGTATCACAGGGTTCTCGCTCGTTTATATAATCGTTTTTCGGGCTCTCAATCAGCAAGGCATACTTTCCTTTACTCATCCGTACTCTTTGAATACCTTCATCATACGAGTTGACAAAGACCTGTTTATTCTCGTTCATGAATCTCCACATTTGCTTATAAAGTTCGATTTGCGATCTCTGTAAAAAGTTTTCTAAACTATTATCGGTAATCAAGAAATTAATTCGATTAACGCCAAGACAATGTAATAAAAAGATCCTTTAGTACCCTTATAATCACGCATCTTAGAGCTAAATATCATTATACTGCGAAAGATGTTACATTAATTCAAGATTGCATTAATTTAATTTCAATTTACATATGTTCACACGTATAGTTGATTGCAGTTTATAAAAATAATTAGATTATCTAGACATGTCATCAAGACATCCGAGATTAAAGTTAAATGTATTTTTTTTATTTTTACTTAGCATTACTTATATGATGCATAGTACGAATGTATTTAAACTTTAGAGAAAAATGTATTAATATTATTTTATCGATAATATAGTGTTACCAATATAATAATTTTGGTAATGTATATCGAAGGAATTTTATGAAAAATTGTAACATAAGGACTAATTAATTTTGTTGTCATATATTTTATAACAACGCCATAATGTTAAATCTGCTTGACTGGATATGTTATCGATTTTAATAAAGTAATGATAACAATACTAAGTAGTTCTTAATGAGTATTATTTCGTTTTCCTAATAGAATTCTTTCATTAACACAGTTTTGCCGTATTATTGAAGTTTTTTTTACATAATTTAAATTACTTTCTGCCATTATCCAATGCAACGTTTTTACGATAATAAAATCGTCCATTTATTTATTAAGCATTGCCGAGGAATCATATATAATTTCGTATTTTAGATATATGTGCATGAATAAATTGACTATTTAAAGAATTACTACATAATTCGGAAATGTCAACTATTTTACGAAGGAAAAATTTAATTGCCGTTATACTATATTGTATTATTCCAAATTTCATTGAATATTTACTTTGTATTTATTTATGACATGTATTTGTGCGACATTGCGTTACGTTAGTCCATCATTTAAATGAAACTAGATCCGAAAGAGTTTGAAATGAAAATATAGTAGGGAATAGAAGCGCCTTTAGCATACAATGAGAATAAATAAGTTGGACTATGAAATGTGTATCATCGTCATGAATATTACTAAATTCGCAATGAAATGAGGATTGGACGCAATGGAATGGATATGTATAAAGTGTGCGTGTGTAAATATACCCGAAAGAAGTCCCACGTAGAGCCATGCTGCAATGTACCATACTGCACTTCGGTCTGGGCGGCCAAGTCTTCGGGCGAGTTGATGGGTGTGACCATACGCTCGACCGTTAGAAATGCCGCGAGATTTGCGGTATATGACGAGATCAGGATTAGTGTGAAGAACCACCAGACGCTACCCACGATACGGCCGGAGATGGATCTGCCAAAGTCACGCGTATGCATTAGTGTCACAATGCAATGTAAAACTTCCTTTTATTCGCGTGTTTTCTTTCTTCATACTTTCTTCATATATTTTCAGTATTAAACATAATTTTGCAATTTGCCTATTTGAAAAGCTTCTATTAAAAGGATTTGTAATGTGGTTATGGAGAATTGTTGTTCTTTTGAAATAAGCATTTTTACGTGATAAATAGATTTTGAAACATTTATAATATGAAAACTTTTCTATTAATATGTAAGTGTATAAGTGCATTGTATTTAATTATCGAGTTTCTGTTTATGTAGTTAAAATTTAATTTAAAACTAAACAAAGTTTGATGTTCACTCGTGAGTAACAAAAAGCAAACAGCAGAATAAAATGCAAAGACGGCTTATAGATATAGAGCCACATAGAAATAATTATTTCTATTATCTAATATTACGATACAACTGATATTCACTTTATGGTAGATATTCATATGGATTTATATATATATATATATATATATATATATATATATATAAAAAATAAAATAAAATAAAATAAAATAAAAGAAAGATAATGGCATTTGTTCCCGGTAAAATAAAATATAATTTTCATTATAATAAATTTATAGATCGACCGTAATCGAATATAAACAATAAAATGATTTTAGATTAAGGAGTAAATTACTTCACTTCAGAAATATTTACGCTAATTATAAAGCGCATGTAAATGAGGTGAAATTACGAGGGTTTCGTAGAAAAGAAGTTCATTATGATACGTACTATTACGTGTCATGTAATTAGAATTTGGTTTAGTAAGAGTACATGTAATTACACAAACTACAGTCTTTCCATTCCCGCAGTTTGTCTTTCTTTATCAACAGAAATCTCTCGGCAAACGTATTGTCATAGCGGAGAATATGCAGATGATCGAAGGAGGGGAAAATTCATCGAGGAGCCCGGGCTGTAGCATTGCACTTTTGTATTCTTTTCGGCATTGCGGCCGCAGCTTGCACGATCAATTTACATTTCGGCTTCGGCACTTTCTTATGGGCGCCACGAGTCCACTACCACCCTCTTGATTAATAGCTCAAATATTCTCACGGCAACGATATGAATTGTAAATTCCCGACCATTTACACTCTCACCTCTATCCTTTCTTTCTCATCGTCGTTCCTGCTTATGCCTCCTTTCTTTTCGCTCAATGCCGGGAATACTTTATGCAAATACACATTATGAAACGAACGGGACGCAGTCAAACGTTAACTTAACCGCGACAATCACAAGTCTCTCCCGGGGATGATTTCAACGGTTTTTCCGACTTTAGTTCTCTCGTTTCTTTCCTTGATCATTAAAATATATCATTACAGACCGACTGCTGAAATACAATTGATGCTGCTGCGAGAGCTAAGCAAGACGGTAATTCCGTTTTTTCGTTTTATTTCTTCGACAGTTTTATTATTAATGGATTTAAGAGTAAGGAATAATGTTATTTTTATATTTTCGAGCTTTTTTTTCTTCTAGCTGGAGTTAAATCGATACAATAACTAATCGAATAAAAATGATCGAAGCTGTAATAGAATTTTTGTAAGCTACGAGAACTAAAAAAAAAAAAAGAATAATAATAATAATATGTCAATGTAAAAATAGAAAATATATTTATATAGAAGATACAGTTTTATACTAAACTTATCGGTAATAACTTAAAAAAATTCGTATTTGTTAAATTGCCAATTAAAATAATTAAATAATAACATTTACATAGGCGTTAAGAAATCAAGTTATAATTTGATTCGATTCATATCAATTAGTTCAATTAGTTCATAAAGTATTTAAAAAAAAAAAAAAAAAAAAAAAAAAAAAAAAAAAACAATTAACGTATTTTTTTAAATTTGATAAGATACCATTGAAAATTATTTTATATTTCGTTAAGCACGACAGTCTCAGTACATAGCCAACTACGCAATGAGTAGTCTGTTGATATATATATATCAATTTTGTACGTAATAACGTATAATGTTCAATAAATTACTAATACGATTATATTCAATTAGAGTTTCCGAAGATTAGAGTTACATGGGAATTATGACGGCCAACAAACGATTTATCATCTAATAGAAGAATTTCAAAGTTGCGTAGACACGAGGTAAACTTACCTAGGCGAGATGTCACCGCCTTGCTGCATAATTGCACCCAACGCGAACCACAAACTATTCAGAATGCTGAAATCGTTGGCCATGCTGGTGTGTTGAGTGTGAGGCGATCCCTGCGGGCCATGGGAATGCTGCAAAGTCCCGTCCCGGGAGACGAGGCTCGGGTCACGACTCGAGCCGATTGTCAGGACGCGCCATTCGTACGGTGAAAATCTAAGTGAAGGCAATGGCTGATTACAGCTCTCAACTTGTTTTCTTTTTCTTTGCTTTTCTTTTTTATTATTTATCACTAAGAGATTTTTTTTTTTATCCATTATTAATGCTAAGTGTTAGCCGCTGCAATGCTTAAGAGATAATGAAATAGATTGAATTCTATTGATGTATAATGTTTTATCCAATTTTTATATCCACGAATATTTTTATTGATTAACAAAAGAATGTTGGATGTTTGTAGGATGTTTGTGGTGATTGAAATTACATGTAAATATTTAAAAATTTCATATGAATTATTTTTAATTACTTAGCAGCATTACTTTGAATACTATAATTGTTTAACTAATCAAGATTGTTTCAATATTATTTCAATAATTAATACAGTACGATGAATTTTTTTTCATTTTTCATCTATCACATCTTATTTACATACTAATAATGATATGTATAAAATTATTAGAAAGTTATCAATGAGATAGAATAAAATCTATTTAATATTCAATTAGTATTTCTTTTTAATATTGCTGAATTATTTGTTCAAGCACATTCTAATAATACACGCGAATGTCATATTTATAATGATTATTCTATTTTTAACATTAACATTTTATTTTACATACATTTCCCGTTACATTAACTTATAAAAATCAAATTAAATAAAAAGATTCTCTTTAAAAATACATATGTTAAAATTTATTTATTGCGACAGACAGAGATACATAAATTCTAATTATTCATTATTTCGTTTGTTTATTAGTTGAGATTTTAAAGAGATCTTACCTTGAAACGATGAAGAGTACTATTGAGACGCCAATATAAGAAAAAATTACACAGACCCAAATTTCCTTGCTGAGTGGATTAAGAAAGCTAAAGACGCCAGGATTTTGCTTAACGGGTTTTTTAATCATGATACTGATGCCTAGAGACATAAACGGCTTACTAAAGTCAATTACTCTTTCTCGCTCTGATGTAATAGTCATTGGAGCAATAGCAATATCTGCTTCCTAAATAAAACAAGTTTTAAATTATATTATGATATTGTTCTAGAAATCAGTATAAATGTTTTCATAAATCTACGGAATTGTAAATGAAATATTTAAAGTACGTCAAGTTTTGTCAATTATTTTTTTAATCACAAATAGAATTATATTCAACATTTAAGAACATAATAGAATGTGCTAATAAATTAATGCAATTTCTTGGTTAAATAACCAAATAATTAAAAACGCATTTTAATAAATAGGTCATTGCAAAATAAATAATTGCTTTCCTACGGTACATAAAAAGGATAACTTCAATTACTGTATACGATATATAAACATGATAAACGACACAATGGCACATAATCCTTATGAATTTTACAAACCAATTCATAGATGGAGTAAGTATCGAATTTGCTCCTCTAAGCTTGCAAGCTCGAGACCTCTATCGCAAATAAACCAAACCGACAGTGCATTGTCAGATAAAACAGTTTTTTCCTTTTTCTGAAATAGGTAGTTTTAGCCCCGTTCGATCAATAATCGACTCTTAAAGCTCCTATTTACTCAATACTTTTGCATGTATCGAATTAACATGTTAGTTACTACTTCTCGTGTTATAAAAATCTTCTTTCGAATTTCTTTTTTTTCTCTCAATATAGCAAAACTTTATTAGTTGTTCAACCAAAAATATACATTTTACAAAAAAATAAATTATTTCGTAATTATTTATATATTGTTGATTAATAAAGTAATAGTAATTTATTATTGTATTAAATATCTTCAGTTTGTAAATGACATTTTCTTCTTTTACAATCAATGTTCTCTTCTTATTAGTACATACTTATCCTTTTTTACTACATATATCTTTCAATCAAAAGTTGTATAAAAATATCTAACGCATTTGATGGTTCGATGGATTATATCAGGATTATAAGAATTTTTAACGTATTGATCGAATAAATAAAGCAAAATTGATTAAATATTATCAATGTAAAGAGAGTATATTAAGCTTCACAAATTTTGTGTTTAATTTATAAACGACGAATGTATCGTGGCTATTATTTTAAGTTATTTGTTAATTGATTTTCAAAATTAATATAATGCTATCACGTAAATGAGATAACTCAAATTCAATAGAAAATTTCTAATAATGTGGAGATAGAGAATATTAGACAATTTTTTTCTTTACTATGTCGTAAATTTGAATTAAAAATTTCGAAATATTTGTATATGTATAGATATTCTTCTCGTCGGCATAAAGAACAATACATCTATATACTATTCTACTTTCTTTATGAACCTATTAGATATTATAATTAATTATTATCAAAACGATTAATTCAAGATAAATCAACTAACGTCTGCATTAACGCCGTACAATTATATGTAGGAATCAATTATATTACTATATAACTAAATAATTTTATTTTAAAAATAATTCGTCTTTAATTCGTATTTAAAAATAATGATACAATAAATTACTAATTTGTTTTAGAATATCAGTTTTAAAATATCTATCATTAAGATTAAATTCAAATTATAACGGAATTTTTATTCAATCGTTATAAATCGTATATATAAATCTTTATAATAATAATCGTAAAATCACGTACATACTGTTTCATTGAAACATTATGCATTATTTAGAATATAAATTTGAAGGTGAAGAAGCATGTATTCAAAATTATGTTCATCGTAGTTTAAAATTCCAAAGTAATATGAATAATTTATTATTTCGTAAATGTACTTTTAAATAACAAAAAGTATAATAAAAATTCTATTACTATTATTTTGATTTATACACAAAGAATTTCGAAAATTTTATTAAAATTTTTTTTATTCATTCACGAGTAATTCAGCATAATGAGAAAAGAATAATGAAAGTACGTTGAATTTCGGTATAATAATTCTTAGCTTTGATGAAAAAATCACTATATATCGATAAATTTTTACATTTTTGTGAGGAGTATAATTTATGGTACCATTGGGATTTCTGACGGTATTGTAGATTTATCTGATATATAGAGTACAACAGACTCTACACATCATTATTATCTGATTAATTTACCTTTCTTATGAGTTCTCCAACCATACCGTCCCAGCCACCGGGTACGGTTGGATTTTCCGAACCATATTTTCCATCCTTAACAATCTGAATATCCCCTGTAAACAAATAAGTACAAGATTTAGAATGAGCTTATGGATTTTCTTTGATATATAAGTTTACAAAATACTATTACAATTGTTTCTAGATGTCAAATACAATATTACGTATGTATAATTAATTATGTTGCAAACTGCTATTCTACCAATGGGAAATTACAATATAATAAATAAGTATTTAAATCATAAGATACAATAGATTTAATAAATGATTGATAATTTTTTTTTTGTGTAATAAAATATAATATTACATTTCAATTATTTAATTTTATGATGAAATAATTTCAGTTTATAGACTGTACAAGAATATCTTATATGAGATAGAATATTAAGAAACGTTAAGAAATTGTCAATGAAATGGTTCCTTTTTTAATGTTTGTTAGAAAATTAGAAAGAATATATTCGTTTAAATAAATAAATAAATAAATAAATAAATAAATAAATAAATAAATAAATAAATAAATAAATAAATAAATAAATAAATAAATAAATAAATAAATAAATAAATAAATAAATAAATAAATAAATAAATAAATAAATAAATAAATAAATAAATAAATAAATAAATAAATAAATAAATAAATAAATAAATAAATAAATAAATAAATAAATAAATAAATAAATAAATAAATAAATAAATAAATAAATAAATAAATAAATAAATAAATAAATAAATAAATAAATAAATAAATAAATAAATAAATAAATAAATAAATAAATAAATAAATAAATAAATAAATAAATAAATAAATAAATAAATAAATAAATAAATAAATAAATAAATAAATAAATAAATAAATAAATAAATAAATAAATAAATAAATAAATAAATAAATAAATAAATAAATAAATAAATAAATAAATAAATAAATAAATAAATAAATAAATAAATAAATAAATAAATAAATAAATAAATAAATAAATAAATAAATAAATAAATAAATAAATAAATAAATAAATAAATAAATAAATAAATAAATAAATAATAATTATAATACTGTACTATAATTTTACTATACTACTATAATTTTAACATGTATAAAGAACTTACAGCTAATGTTTAATTTTCTCGTGATAAGATCAGCCAGATCTTTGCAGTAACCTTCATATCGATCCTTCATTTTTTCAGGAGGTTTTCCGTTTTCGTATTTTCTTTCCATAATATAGGGTTCTTCCTATTAAAATTCAAATGTACATATTTCATTAGAGCGGTCATTAGATTAAAGAAACATTTTAAAACGTCGTACTTACTACTATTGTTGTCACGATGTAAGTCTTATTCTTTAAAATTTCGGACTTGGGATGCCGATCACGTTTGGTTGGTACCACTTGGTATCCATTAATATCTGTCCATTCGGCAACCTTAAAAATTAATTGTAATTAATGTTTCTTTATCTAAAGTTTCACTTTATGATTTTAAGTTTTATATTGATCCATTATATTTTCGATTTTTATAAATTCAATTAAATTCTTCTTCATTTCAATTCAGAATTTTGTTATTGTTTGTTTTGATGGTGATTCTATATCTAGAAACCAATACTAATTTTATTGTTTATTAAAATTTGATTACTATATACATATTTACCGTAAGAAAGACTTTAACGAAACGATGAATTAATTATACATTAATATAAAATAAAATTACAGCTAAGAATATGTTTTTTTTTTTTTTTTTTTTTTTTTTTTTTTTTTTTGTATAGATAAAAGATATAAATTAATAATAAAAACCGCGTTAGGTAAACTACTAAGCTTTAAAGAAATGCATATTGTTGCTTATATTATTCTATGTTCTCAAATGTGTAAATAATTGCAACAGAATTCATGTAATGGTACTTTCAAAGTGTACAAAAACTTTTGGTTTAATCCTAATACAATTGTAAATAGTAAATAGTATTTAATATGTTTATAGTGCGTGAGTTAGTTGTCACACTTTGTAAAGAATTTACATGTTGATATTCTATAAAATAGACAATGATAAAAAGTACCTTTACAGGCGCACTATTTACTGTCATTTCAACAACATCCAGTGTGTAATTTCGACGTCGGCCCTCGTCATTGAATTTAATTTGTCCAGTAAGTCCTTCTATTTCCACCTAAAAATGCAAAAAAAATTGCTTTTAAACGCTTCTAATAGGAGAAACGAACGTTGCGCGCAATTTTTCTTTTTGTTACGAGCTGCACTTGTAGTATTGACACTTTTCTGCCATAAAAAGGTTTCGCTACTCTCCTTTTAACGAATACTTTTTCGCTTTTTTATTTAACATTTCTACAGTCACGTCATTTTAGGTACGGGTGATATTTTATTAGGTCACATCGATGAATTACGTTAGAAATAAAAGTTTCGAGATTTAATGTGACACTTTAACTTTTATGTACGTTTCTTGAAGCAATCTTAAAAACTATTTTCATTCTTCAGAGAACATAGTTTATTGCGTGACATAAAAGCTACGTATTTGCGATACAACATTAAATTATCTTTACGAATATTCAAAATACGAAATTTCTGCTACCGAGTTTTATAAATATTTTCTAAACATATTTAATTTTCAATTTCAGTGCAGATGAAACGTAGCTTTTATATTATAATTAAAAGTCAAAAGAAAAAAAAAAAAAAAAAAAAAAAAAAAAAAAAAAATAATTTCAACTCATATAATTTGAGATTAACATATGCTTCATTCAAATTATTGTTCTATTCAATCATAAATCTACATTTGATAAGAACATTTATTTCACATAAAATTATTCAACATAATATGTATTTTTTCTAAGCTTTACTTGCTTGACATAATATATCCAACAATCTATTGATGATTCATAAATAATTGAGTGACGAAGAACAAAAAATTATAAAATTCTCTTTTAAAATAAATTATTGTCTTTATCTTCAAGTAATCCTGTAATTATAATGAATAATATAATAATAAGGAAGATTTGCCTCAGCAGGCAAAATATATAGAATGGGTTAATTGATTTTGTGGTAAGTACTGGCAAGCAATAAGGATAAATAACTTTAAATTGTAGACATAACTTTACAAAATGAAAGTACTTTATCGTCCTGTAGTTGGGAATCTCGAACGTCTAGCGACATCCTTTTACGTGTTTCTGTACTCGAAATCTCCCAACTCCTGTCATCGACACGCATTAAGCGCATACAAAAATTTTTCGAGAAAATTTCCTCCCTACCTTCATTTCTCAGTGATAAGCAGAATTCTTAGCGAGGGAATGAAAAGTTGAGAGTTCAACGAGACTTTATCGCGGCGACGCAGAAAAAATGCCAATTAGTGTCAGTGCCAGATATTATAGAAAGCTGTAGTTTTCGGTTCGAGCTGTTCGTATTTATCGCGAGCAGAAAAAGGAGAGCAACCCTAAACCACACGGATATTTCTGCGTATTGAGCATTGGCGAAAAATGATTTATATACTTAGTGAGCGGTATTACGACGTCACTCTCTCTCTCTCTCTCTTCTCTCTCTCTCTCTCTCTCTCTCTCTCTCTCTCTCTCTCTCTCCCTCTCTCTCTCTCTTTATTCAGTTCGCTTGCGCCACAGTTGTCGATTAGCGGTTGTCATTCTTTTGACGCTTTTTTCTTTCATTTCTCTATATCTTTATTATTTACCGAGTGATTCCACGAAAATATGAACTTTTCTTAAGATGCGTCATTATAAATACTTATTTATACACTCATATAAAATAATTTTCCTAATACATACGTCATAATTCAATTGCAAGTTTTTTATGTGTTCAAATGTGCTCTTAACAATTATCGCATTATAGAAATCGCTTGAAAATAATGGTATTATTGTTTCACGAATGTAAATTAAAACTATAATAGAAATATTAGAAAAATAACATTTATGTAGGAAACAGAGCAGCTTTCGTACGTCTGAAATGAAATAGAAATCGCAAAGTAGAACTCTAATGGGGCAAATTATATTAAAATTAGCTCAAGTATTCCCGCTCGATAGAATTTAAAAAATGAATTTTCAATAGTATTACACTCTCCTTTTAATCAAGTCAATATCTATTTACGTATATCATATATAGATATGCTACCGTATATGTATATGTAGGCTCTCGGCTCGCCAATATTTGACGTGCATTGTTTTCATGGAGAAATTCCCAAATTGAAAAAGAAAACCAAGCCTGAGAATATATAGTTGCTTCTTCGTGGATCGTTTTCGTTCTGATTGTGTTGGATTTCGATTGAAAAGTTCTTCCCAGAAACTAAAATGTTTCAATCTCTCTGCTTCCCCCACTCTTATGTACTTCTAAGAAAGAATCAGTTTTGATCGTAGCGTATCTTGCTTTTACAAAGTTTCGTCGCGACGAGTTTCTACTGTCAAGCTGAAAATCAAATTTCACAGAGATGCCAAGCAATACCTCAATCTCCTCGCATAATCCTCAACTCGTTTTGATATGTTGTTTTTCATGTAAATGTTTATTTTATAAAGTTTCTTTCATTTTCATGCAATTACTTTCTTATGCAGATAGCAATCTTTCTCTGAATAAACGCCCTCTTTTAATTAAGTCAATTTCATTTGCGCAGAATTCAAAATTATTAAACAGTTGAATATTTACTTTAACGGAGCAATTTTTTTAAATAAAAATCAAATGCAAATTTACAAAGTCAGACAAGGGAAGAGAGGATTAAAGAGAGAGAGAGAGAGAGAGAGAGAGAGAGAGAGAGAGAGAGAGACAGACAGACAGAGAGAGAGAGAAATTAATTAAAAATTCATAGAATTTGTATGTTATATTGAAACATTTTAAAATTTGGAAGGAATAATAATTTTACAGCTTGTCTTTTTTACAACTATAAACTTTCTAAAAGTATTATTATCCTAATGCTTAATTAATTTATCAATATTTTATTATTTTTTTTAATAAATTTTAGAATATTCGGATATTATTGTCAGCATTAATATTAAGAGCAATAAATGCCGCAATAAAAGCAATTAAATATTGACTAATGAGAGTAGTAGGTAAAAGTCTTTTAAAGAATCATCTTGTGAAATGAAAAAAGTCTTAAAATTTTACGTACCACTGGTCTTATAGGGGCTATAATATAGTTCTCGAGTGTATTGGTAAATTAGGTCGTTAAAGGATGGACAAAGCGATATAACCTTCGCTTATTTATTTAAAACAAGCGTGCAATTTAATTTGCAAAGCATTTTAAGATACATGCAGTGCCGCTTTCACGGTAACTAAGTAAGTTGAGAGCACTATCGCGTAAAATTGTACCTTGCGCAGCGATCTAGCGATCTTGTTGCCTTGTTCCCATCCGTGCGAGGTCCATCCGTGGTTGGAATTGCAATCAAGGGTAGTGTTTGGCTGCTGGCTACCACCGGCGCGCCTCGGATTGTTTTTCTCAGTTTTTTTCTTCTTATTGAGCACCTCGACGAGCACGAAGACCGCGTCGTATATGAGAGCCGCCTGGGCCTACATTTAACATTGAAAGCAAAATAAATAACTCATTCTTGATTACGAACGAAAGCGTCCGCCGACACTGCACACTGGAATTCCCTTATTAAAAGTAATAACAGCGCACCCCCCTGGATTTTTCATATCATACGACATAGACGTAGGGAATTTACGATTCCTGGAATAACTATTGCTAACCCATTTTTCCGCGTCCTTTGTAATTCTAATTTTCAGTGAAAATCGTGACTCGATAGAATAATTGAAACTAACAAAAACTCATTCCTCCAATTCCACAATAAAATATTTAACTTGAATTCGCACCAAATGCACGTGCGCACGCCCGTACGCACGGACGAGCACACAATAAACACATACAAGCCCGGATAGAAGTACGAGCAAACAAAAACATACACGTGCACTCGAGCCCTCGTACACGACCGTACATGTCCGTGTTCAGCCGCATATATATATATATATATATATATATATATATATATATATCCGCGTAAACACACACACGCACATAATCGGATGCATAAGATAATTTTATTTAAAGATCGACAAAGTTAAGAAAGATAATGTTTTACATAAAAAATTTCATATGAAATATACCTGCCTATACTTATCTATGGATATATGCAAATTTATCATACGTTTCACCTTGTAAAATCAACTGAAATCATTATTTGCAATGAAAGGTTTATTAATATAAAATATATGATGGATTAATAAACAAAAACATTTCCAATTTCCTTGATAAGTAATATTTAGCTCGTTCATTTGATATGAAGCCGTAGATTTGTGAAAAATGCAATGCGACACAAATTACCTTTATACCAAAGCAAGAGCAAATTAAGAAAAAAACGAGTATCAAAAACTGTGAAAGAAAAAACAGCGGATTAAAAAATACATGTATGACAATAGAATCGAAATCGGAATATAAAGAGTAAAAGATTTGGCAAATTATCATAAGAATTTAAAACGTATGTTTATTTTTCTGAGAAAAACAATGAGAAGCTTCGTAGCTGCTATAAGAGATTAATACAAAAGTTAAAAACTATTGGCTGACAGGCGACAAAATTGCAGACCTTTGTTTCGCGACGATAAAATAAAGTTCATTGAACAGCAATGCAAGCTTGGAAGTCTCGATATTATTCGCTTTTGCGCTCAATAGCTTTATGTCTATTCGAAAATACGTATGCAGTAATGGGAGCAGCTAAATTGTCATAGTCCGTTCGATATATTCAGAGTCAATGGGAACGCGAGTGTAATTGGCATATCATAGACTGTATCGTGGACGTTACGAGTCAAAAGACGATATTACCGCTATTAATTTCGATCACCAATAAGGAATATTTTTCAATGGTTATTGGTATCGGGTTTGATGATGTTGGCCGGGCGGCGGGGGGGGGGCGGAGGAGGAGAGCAGGCAAAGCATGCAAAATATCCATTCGGTTAGTTTTTGAATGAGATACTCTAAGATTATAGTACAATGTTTTCGTTATATAGTCGATGAGCCAAGTAACGAAATATAAATACGAAATAATCAATACGCGAATAAGAAATAGAGACAAATATTAATGTATTCAGATATACGCATAAAACCACACAAAATGGCATCCGACTACTTACATTCGCTACGGACCATAACGAACGACAATGTTGAAATTTTACTAATTTTATTTTACATTTTATAAAAAATAATTTAATATTGCCATTCATGATTATTATGAATTATTATTATTATGAATTATTATTATTATTAATTATTATTATTATTATTATTATTATTATTATTATTAACTCGTAACAGGAAGATGATATGCTATTCGATAAAGTAGGAACTGCTTTAGCTCAAAATTCTTTTTTGTTTTCTTTTTTGCTTCTGTTTTGTTTTTATTTATTAAAAATAGACTGGATTCGTGAAAAAATTACTCATATTAAAAAGATACACACTATAAAGAAACGCCGTCTTTATTACTTTACATACGCTATTCGTATTGAATAAATATCTACAAATATTTATTAATAATATTCGTAGTTTCTAAAGGTACATGGTAGCCGAGTATCGAAGAATTTTATTACTATTTAATCCCGAATCGTAAACTAGGCAAATAAACTTTAACCATTCATCTAAAACAAATATTAGTCCTTTTGCATTTTAATAAAGTAATAAATTGTTTTTTTAAATATTCAGCTTCCGTTGTATTATAGGTCTACGATATTATATATAAAACCTATTAGAACGTAAAGCTCTTCTTGCCCGACTCGATATATTCAATTTAATAAGCGACTAAATTTCCCATCGTATAACAATATTCATGTAAAATTTGAAGTTAAGCGAAGAGAAGAGAAAAAAACTGGAGATATGATCTGTTAAAGCCCGAAGAAAATAGTATACAACGATAAAGACATTATCGAGCTCGATATCGCGCTTCCCTTGCTCGACAATCATGGCGCGGCTCGATCGTTTCTCCTAATTTTCCAGCACTGCAGTTTTGACGCTGTCAAAAGCCATCTCTTTCTCCGTTTCTCCTCGATGTAGCTGCAGTTGGCATCATTTTCCCATACTTACGGAAATGGAATCGCGAGCGGCTGGAGACTGGCGCCAGCGCTCAAGGAACTCCTTGACGTAACGTCGGCTGCCGTCGACGATGCGGAAGCCGGTGATGTTGATGGCACCGTACTCGATCACCTCGTTGTCCCAACGGTCATCCATTATCTGATTAACCCCAAGCGACAAGGAAATACCGAACAAACTTTAGTGTTATGCGTAGATAGTCATGCTTCAAGTTTTAGCTGCTGAGAGGCTTTATTTTATTTTATTTTCGCACACCTACTTCTAACTCTTAATTATTTTCTTCTTCTGGCGACTTTACCTTTATGAGTCTTACTTTATAAGTAATATTATGCATTTCATGCTTGCAAGTTTTTACGATTTGTTTACTATTGATCAGTGGGAACGTTTGTATTTAGTATTTACACAGGATTTTCTCTCTAAGACATTTTACAAATTCCTACGTATAGGAAAATTTTTCATTGAAATTGGATTCAGGAACGCGCAACATGCATTTCTGAATTTAAACAAATCATCGTATCGTAAAATATTTATACAAAATGCTCGTCTTCATTGATCGTTGCAAATGCAATAATTATCTGAAAGTATACTTTCATATGCTTAATATTAAATGTTATTGAAAAATGTAAGTACATGACTTTGTGTACTATTGAAAATCTGGTATATTCATGAAGCACGGCCGGCTGTACATTTTTTAACTTTATGGTCCTGAGTATATTTCTACTGCAGTAGCTATTTAACTCTCGTCTTTTAAGAATTAAATTTCAAAGTGAAAAGTAAAGAGTGCAATGGATGGCAAATATAGTCGTGCGGAATAAAGACATTTAAAAGTGACTATATATTCGAATAAGCCATTTTATCAGGTCAAAAAAGTTTAAAAAATGTTTTAAGAACTTATTTCTTTATTCTATATAATGTGTAATACACAACGATCACGCGTGCATAAATTGTTTTATGATCAAATTATGTTTAAAGGGATATACAATAAAATATAAATAAAATTAATTAAATAGAAAATTTTTAATATTTCAAAATTATTCAAGAAAATATTACTTTCTTCTTATTAAAAGCAATAATTGTACGGAAGTTCTTCTAAATTACAAATTAATCAAATCAAACTTTTCCAATTTTATACTGATCATTAGAGAAATATTTATACAATATCTAATTATAACGAATTCTAGAATATCATATGACAAATATTAAAATAAATAATAGATTATAATGTAAATTATGTCGAATAAATCAACAAATTACTATACAAATGCCGTTAAAGCTTTTGGAACATTAATAAATACTATACACATGTATGGAAATGTTAGTAAGTTAATTAGAAAATCTTTTTAATTATGTCACTAAGGCTTCAGCAGGTCATTGTAATTACAAAAAATATATTTCAATAATTAACATATCTAGTATTAACATAACATTCAAAATAAACATGAGAAGAAAAAAAATAAAAAGAATTAAAATAATCATACGCAGAGAAGTATTATATCTCGCGTGTTTTAAGAATTTTCGATGCATTTGTGTAATTTATAATAAGAGTGAAAAATAAGCTTTGTTCCTATATTTAGCGTATGATTCTATTTTATAATTTTAAGAAATAAAAAGAAAGCTGAAAATGAAAATCTGCTTACATCAATAGCATGTGTATTGTAATAATTTTATAAAAAAATAGACGATAAAAGACATGATAAAATTCATTTATAGATTAAAAATTTTCAAATTTCAGAAGTTCAATAATGATATATTATAAAGAATTCCTTGAACTATAAAATAAATTAATATACCCCGGGACGATGTTTATAGTACTTCTTTATTTATTTGACTAATGAGATTTTTTAAGAAAACAAATTTACGCCTCACATTTTTGTATTAAAGTGCAATTAAATTTTAATATTACAATTCCAATGTATAATGAATTTCTCTACGTAACAACTTTCAGAATATTTCATAGCTTTTTATCTCTTATCTTTTCATCTGCATTGTCAATTATTTAAGATTTTTATTATGCTTTTAGATTATTACGTTTGCCACTTTATTTTTTCATTCTTTTGCATTGCTCGGGTCCTGGTATAAGTAAATGAACTGGTAAATCGTTTGTACGTATGAATACTTATATTAAGCCGATTAATGCCAGTCGCCGAAAAATTGAAAATCAGTACTACGCAGTTTAACGAAATTCAATCATTGCATGAGCAATTTTTATATTTATTTGATAATTAAAAAATAAAACAAAGCTCGTATTAATGAGCTTGAGATAAAGGTGAATATATTTAATTAGAATTACTTATATTATACAATACATTGAAAATTATATAGTTATGCACAATATTTTGTTGATTTATATCACGAAATTATAAGAAATTGTAGTGTTATATTTTTTTATGTTACAAACGGCAATGTTACAATGACTGTGAAGTAATCATTAATTATAGAAAATAAAAGGATTTATTTTAGCATTAATTAAATATCAAATACTTACAAGTCCACTTAGAAGATAATGATAATTTCGTCGTCCTAAAGTGACATCTCGCACATGATTGATGACTATATCTTTGGCCATTTCGGTCGGACAATCGAGTACTACATATTTATTACTCCATCTGTAAAATAATAATACATTCATTTCTTAACATTTATAACGTTATTGGAATTAATTCAACTTAAACTTAAAATTAAAATTAGAAAATTTGTTATTTTTGAAAAATTAATAAATTATGAGTCATAAACAGCCTGCTGTGAAATATTTATCGATAGTTATAATATTCTGAATTGAGTTAGTATTTTAAAGAAAATCTAGCTAGTCTATAACAATCATTTTTGATTCATATTATATGAACAGCTTATTTATATTTATTTGGTCATGAGTTAACATTTGTACTTTTATATTTTAAGATATGTAGTAGCCGTTGATTTAATAAAAAAAATTCATCTAAGTGGAGCGCACGTGGACAAATAAATAACTAAGCTGTTCTTAATGCTTTCTTTTAAGTTGGCAGATGTAAAATAAAAATGAGACATAGCAAAATCCGAATATCAATTATGAGAAATAATTTCAAAATCTTTAATTTTATTTATAATCTTTATTAATTTGTCCAATTCTAATCGAATGATATTAAATATATGATAGTAAATATTTTTACAGTGGAACTTATATAAAAAAAAAAAAAAAAAACTTTAGCTTACTAAAGAAATATATTTAAAAGAAAATGCAAAGGTGTTGAAATTAATTCAAACATAAAAAATTATTCGTAAAATATAATGTCAATAGAAACTGTAAAATACAATTACGAGTTTTATCAATTTTAGTTAATAACACAGAAAATTTTATATTATTGACGTGAGCAGCTAAGTTACATTTGTAAATTAAAATATTTCATTTGCTTATTCAATATTATTTATTAAAACCCTTCATTTATCGACAATACCTTATTCAACATTAAAAGGTCATTGAAAAAGAGAATGTTAGCATACTATACAACATAATTATATAATATAATAAAATATATATCGATTTGATGCCATTGATTGCTTCATAAACCAAGTGATTTAGCTAAAAATATATGCGGGCACAAATATACACGTCTATAGAAATTGCTGTTTTTACAAAATTTAAAATATACTTTATCAAATGTATGTAAATAGTTGTGTAGCTAACTGACATATCAATGATCAATCTCAATTGCTGATCTCCTGAGAAATATCAACATATCGTTTAATTGGCACACACCGAGTATCTGCTCAATCGATCTACGCACCGTGCAGTTACATGCAAACAGCGACGATAATTATGAAATGATATCATCGTTCGACCACTAATATTACGAAATCAGGGTTACGCTTGCTTTCAGTAAGCTGTGATATTCCCAAATGCTTAAACTCATTATTGAATAGTATTATGAAATTGGGGGTTTATATTATGAAATGACGCATGGGGGTTTCAGTTGATTTTTAGGTCTAAGTGTTTGGTATACGAATTTCACACACTGACTTTATGAATATTCTTTAAATACAACTTATATTTTTTATATTGTTTAGGCGATTTATATTATTATGTACTGTAATATAAATAATAGTAAGTTATGAAGGTAAACAAATAAGATCAAAAACAAAAAATTACGGATTAAAAAAAAAATAGATTATTGATTTTTGTGCTTAATTCTGCAGAGTAACCTTTCATATTTATTTGAAATTCGAATTTTTAAATATTTCTAAATGTAACTAATTATGTGATTTCATCAAGTATAGCAGTTAATAAACATACACAGCAATTATTATATATTATTGTTAATTACTTTTAAGAATCTATTATATTGACCAACTGCAACTAAATATTATTTAAACATGAAGGAAACATTTATTAATAATTCTAATGTTTTAACTACTTTTAATAATTTTAATATTAAGTTAATGTATTATTTAAAATAATTATTAAATATACCATTAAACAGCACGTGCAAAAATAATATGTAGGTACATTATATAATCAAGACTATTTTATTAATGTCATGGATTTATTTGTTCTTCTGGATTTGTACTCCAATTATAAATAAAATGAAAATTAAAAGCTTGATTATGTCATTTATACAAGAGAACATAAATAATTTTATAAAAATAATTTTTTTATTGAAATTATTTGAATCCATTAAAATTTGCAAAGAAATTTCTAATCAATAGTTCGATATTGTAACAATTAATTTTAAATTCGTATTTTTACTTGTAAATTACAATATAACAATTTATATTCTTTATTATTGTGATGATAAAATTTTAATAATATATTAATGACTGTAACTCATTTTTACTTAAAAAATTTTTAATGGAATTCATGTATTTATCCTCCAAAATAGTCGAATTGTGTAAATTTTCGCAGTATTTTTATCTTTTGCATAAAATTGTTTATATATTAATTTAAATTGAAATTCATAGTATTTGTTATTTCAAGTATTTGTATTTTATATAAAATGTTTGTTTAACATGCTAATCTAATTATATTACTTAATACTATACTTTGATATATTTTGGTTTAATAATTTATTTTTCATCTTATTGAAAGATCAATTTTCTTATACATGTGAACGAATTTATATAAATAATTTATAAAAAAATTATATATCATCTGCTTACGTAATGGAAATAAAATCTCCAAAGTATTTTTGGTAACTTTATTTTTCATTTATATATTGTCCCAAAAAAAAATTTATATTAAATAAATACATGTATATATATATATATATATATATATATATATATAAATATATTTAATACGTGATTTAATCTCAATAATTGTAAATTACTAAATTTAATTGAAATGACTTAATTAATATTAATATTAAAGAAATTCACTATTTTTATTTTAAATAACGAAACCTTACGTTGATTTGAAAAGCTTTAGGACCGTATGGAATTCTTTTTCGAATACTCGCGCTTCTAAATGCATTTTTGTTACTTATGATCAAATATCTGCCAAATACACATATGAAAACTTTTTGAACATACAATTATTATTTCAAATGTATATACAAATAATATCCATTTCGCAAGTTCAATTTCGAAATAATTAATAATAGACACACACACACACACACACACACACACACATATATATATATATATATAGAAATCATAATTAAACTTTTGAAATATATACAACGATTATGTGTGTATTTTGTACTAATTGAAACAGACTTACTATAATGGATTTGTGGAAATTCAATAATCTTAAAAAAATCTAAAACATCTACTGTTAGAGAATTAAACATAAATAAGAAATAGTATAAAATTATTTTATAATTTTTCTAAACGTCTTTTTCTATGGACAGTCATGGTTTTGTCTGTAATTTATACAATTTGAATTGCATTTCAATCTCTTGCTGTTATTTACCAAAGAAATCAATAGATGAGCGTTTAAATACTAATTTTTATTAATACTTGACTTTATTATATAATTGAAATTGCTATTCTTTATTGTTTGCAATTTTCATAATTATACAGATTATTTGTTTCTTACCTTTATACTTTCTTATGTCATGCCTTTTATATTTATTTAACTTCTTCAGTTTTGCATTTTCTATAATCTGTTGAATATTCATATACAATATATTTATAAGTTATCTTTTAAAATAACTATACTTAATCTTTAGATTTTTTGTTTCACTATAGAGTTTTATTCTTTAATAACAGTAACCAATTTTATATTCATAAATTCTTCAGATTATCAGTGATGGAAAAATCTTCATATAAATCACATATTATGTGATATAATGTATACGTATTATAGATAAAAATTATATCAAAGATGCTGATATTCATTTCAAGACTTACAATAGTATGGACGTGAGAAATATGTAAAAAGTATATAAAAGAAAATAATATTTATAATGTCGATAGAAATAAAAAGACTACAAAGAATCATAATAACAAGTAAAAATGGATATATGTATTTAAAATAGCTTTATTAGTTTTATTTATTACCCAAGAAGTTATACTTACATCAGTTATGAATATATTTTATCATATTAATCTATTTTTATGTGTTTTTTATCTATCGATGATGACATCAAATAAAAAATGCATTTGAAGTTAATGTTAAGTGACATTTATAATAAAATTTCTTCTTTCATATATATGAGTATGCATATTTGATAAAAGGAAGTAATTATAATAAATTAGTCCATAATTTTCGTAACATTACAAGTCATAAAATTTAATTCTCTATATGTATTATAATTTCCCTTAGTAATGAACGTTGACGTCCATCGATATGATTTTCTTTCTAAAGAAAAAAAAGGAGGTATTCCAACACTCTATCACTGTCAAATTTTCAAAGTCAAACGAAGCCGGTTATGCAGCTATCATTGTCAAATCAACGGACTCGGACACTGTAATAGTAGTGGTTGATCAAAAATTGAAAGGAGTTTGCAATGTTTGCAAGACACTACGAGTAAATCTAGTACACCTTTTTTTTGTTTTTTTTTTTGTTTTTGTTTTTGTTTTGAATCACTTGATACTTGTGTAGGATAAATGAATTCTAATTAATTTTCACGTGTGCACTCAATTAGAAAATGCAGGTAAGCTGGCTGTCAACTGTTTACTTAATAATTGATACTCATTGTGCTCCACTTTCTCAACTTGTTCATAAAGATTGCATACATGACATTAATTAAATTAAAGCTATATTTCAGATAATTGAAGTGCTTTACAAGCTCAACTCACTTTATATCGAAACAAGTACATTACTATAGATTTCATCTCGAATTTATCGCACAATTAACATCAATAAAACACACTAGAATAAGTGAAGCTATGTGATCTTTTAATTTTCAAACATGCATTTTTGTTAATTTTGGCCAATATGAGATAAGTATAATGACAGTAAATTTTTTAAACAAAAATTTCACCAATATGCATTAGCAGACATAACATTATTTTCACTTGTAATTGGATGCGCGTCACTTTTCATTTTCAATAAATTAAACCGCATGCATTACATAAAGATTAAATATTAAAATTATACAATTACATTAAAAAAATAAAGATGATATGCAATTTAAATATTTAAGCTTATATTTCATGTTCTATGAAACAAGCAAACCGAGAGAATTTTCATCAATATAAATAATTATGAGTTTAATATTGTTAATAAAATTTACGAAAATTCTTACATTTTCATATATTTGTCGATGATTATTAATTGACATGTAAATAAATGTTAGTTTTATAAATTGGTTAATCTATTATAAATCTGTTACTGACCAGATAGATACACAAAGAGTTTATTTAAAAATTTCATATTTATTGAAATAAAGCGTAAATCAATGGGCAGAAACATTAAAATACAAGAGCCAATCATAAATGTTGTATTTCTCGGACTTAAAAACTTAAAAACATAATGGATTTTGAAAACAAGCATTATAATAGGGAATGAAATTTTTTTAAATTTATAATCGCCTTTAACGAGTGCATTAATCCCAAATAATTTGCATTAATCAAACATAATGCTGTATATGCAATTTATTATTTGGCAAGAATTAAGATAAAATATATTCTAGTATTTTATTTCAAATTAAAAAAGTTAACATATAAGTTTTAACTTACCGACTAAGTTCCTCCAAACTGCGTAAAAAGTCAAGAGCATCGGACACATTTTGTATCCTTTTAACAGTTTCAACTTGAAAAGTATCATTTCCTGGTTTTAAACCTTGATAAATTTGTTGCAACCGTAATAGTCCTGTAATGAAAATAACAAATTTACATTATTCCATTTGTATTTCAATTTTCACGTTGATAAGATATACTTCTGTTACGACATAATATTATATGGAATGTTGTTCATTCAACTATTACAATATTATGGTAAATAATTGTTATAATTATGATTCTACGAACGCTTCTAGTTGTATATATTAACGAATGATTATTTATTGAATATGAACCATAAAAACCTATGAGCGATTAATCTGATAATAACTTTCACTCTCAGAATAGAATGGATAAGAATTCCGTTAAATTTACACCTACAATATTATGAATTAATTTGAACGCCTGTAACATCTAGATTTTCTATAGATAATTACAATGTATGAAATATTTTGTTCAAAATTCATTTATGAATTTGAATGGATTATTTTTTCTCGAAAGTTTCGATATTCACTACATTAATGATAGAGCTTGGATGTATTAATCGAAAGTACTAAGAATTTAACAGAATTATCAGCTCGGGAAAAATATCTTTCCAGCTTAAGCATAGGAAGTTCTGGGTAAAAATAAAAATGTTCATATTTTCATATTATAGCCAAAGATTTTAACGATAATATTAATAAAACAAAGTTTCACAATATCAAAGTTTCAAATATACACTTATATAAAATGTAATTAAACTCATTAAAAAATATATTCTCTTATAAGATCTCTAATATTTATAGAATAAATATTTTGTTTAAAAATACAGATAAAGGAATATAATAATATTTATATGTACTAATGTTGTTAATTCGAAAGATAAGGAAATAACGGGGCCTGAAAAGCCTGATTCACATTACAGTTTGGGCGTTGCTCTCCACCCGGGAGCGCCGACGACTAATAAAAGATGGTTAGCGTACAGGAGGGGCGGGGGGGGGCGGTGAGTAGGAGGTTTGAATATCACAGTAGAGAACGGGAATAGAGGAAGGAAGGGTAAAAGCCAGTGGTAGCGATTCGATTGTGGTTGCTTTGTGCGCGTGTTGGAGTACAAAAGAAGGTGGGGGAGGTGGATGAGGGAGGAGAGGAGAAATTTCGAGTTACCGTGCGATTGAATTAAATGTCACGACCGAATTTAAAGAGTCAGACAGTAATGAGAGGCAATGGACAAGACTTTAGGAGCTACGGGCAATGAAATGGTAATGTGGTGACTACTTATCGGGGATGAGTAGTGACACGGGGATGTCGGAGCTCGATGAGTGTGATGGAATGTTGCTGAGGCATCCATTTCTAACAGATGGAAGTGAATGAACTTTTCGAGTCGATCACTTGCATCCACTTCTTTCTATTCTATTCCTTTTACTATATCATGGTTTTAGTCTCCTCTTGTTTTCGTAGTAATTAATACATTTAAGTCTATTTATTCGTTCGCCAATTTCATTCGGGCAGCACGTATTTCTCGAAAAATCAATGAATTATCGTATTCTATTACTTATTCTCATCTCTTTTTAGTTTATTGTGATAGGAAGGTACGGCTTCGGGATTATCGGCAACAGCATTGGGTTACAGAATTCGCGATTTTTTAATATATCGAATGTAATATTCTTTATTTAATACTATAAAAATATAAAAAGTTTTTATATAGATATTTATGATACGAGCAATTTTCATATATTTTTATATGTTTCGATAAATAAATATCCGATTCCGCTATTTAATTGTACAGCATATAATATATATTTAAGGAATATGAGACTTTATAAAAATTTAAATTTTTCTAAAAGATTTTATACGAATCATTTTATTATTTATTATTTTCTTATCATCTTTGCGATAATGAGTGCAATATTATTGTCACGTATTCTTAATAATAATTCATTGCTGTCATTTATTAAGAATATTTATTATAGAGATAAATATACGTATTTTGATTAAGAAGATGTCGATTAATAGATGCGCGAACACTAAATATTATGGAGTGAATTGCCGCAGATCAGTCGAGTGTCAATTTGAGACAATTTTGATGATCAGTGGCAATGCTTTAGCAGCAAAAAACATTGCGGCCACTTTAAATTGTCTCGTGGGATAAAGAAGAAATTGATGACGCGAAAAACTTTCATTTTTCCAACGCAACTTTTCTATGATATCTTCATATAATATGTATACGGGTTGCTTCAGAAATTTCAGTGAAAGGTGCAACGCAAGACAATGTCAGTACGGTATATAACAGTTATTTATTCATGAAAGTGTTGGAATATTTCTTCCTTTTTTCTTAGACTTAAGTGAAATTCTTGATGTCATCGCGTAAAGTAAATACTTGAAAAATCTTCCATTTTAAGACTTAACATAACTGATTTAATATTAATATTATTAATTATACATAAAAATAGTAATGGATGTTATTATATATTTATTCATTCAATAAATTATTTAGTTAATCCGCACCTTGTCATTCCAATGAATTGTTTACCATACATTCATTAATCTTATTTGAGAAGCAAATTTGTTAACTTATTACCATTCGATTGATATAAATATAATTAAAATAAAAGCTGCCAAAATTATAGTAGAGAATGAAGAGAATTATATAATGAGTACATAGCCTAAAGATAATAATCTATTTTGAAATCGCTAGCTAATATTGATTTTCCTTTTACAAGGAACATATCTATTTATTAATGTTACTTGCATTCGAAATAAAAGATATTAGATAATGAATTTTATTAAATTACTATCAATATATTTAAGGGTAAACACACTCATTCGCACAACTGTAGGTCAGGCTATAACCGTGTAATTCAAATTATAAATTATTAACGTAACCTTAGTGAACTATGTGGGTATTTTTGTGCTCGCGTGTATACATGAATTCTTTTAAATATGCATGTGCTAGTAGGAAATACGATTGTATTATTATTTTATATGATACGGACAAAATCCAAATCTCATTGACTTGCGTGAGAAATTTTTTGAACATATTTTTTTCTCAAAATGAAATTATTTACATTTTTATCTTATTGTTTTTATAGATAAGCGATGATTATCTTCTGTTAGCAAACCTGGAGTAGTTTCTGATATAACTTCGGACATCAAAGGATGCAATAAACCGTCAAACAATAATCAATAGCTCGTGGAAAGTTTGAAACATATACAGTATAATGTTAAGTTTCTCCGATATTCTAGATAATTAATTAATGTATTTCACTCCATAAAGAAGCTTAAAGCCTAAAAAAGACATGCGACGGCTTAATCACTTATACTATACTTTTATTTGAATATGGTTTTAGTTGATATACTTACAGAAGATTGATAAGGCAATAAATAAATAATAATTAATTGCTTATTGAATTTGTTTTATTTTGAAATAATATCATTGCCAAGCATACAATTAATCTTATATAATTAATTGATTATAAAAGTTAAATGAAAATTGTATAAAGAATATGTAATGATAAATTATTAGGTTGATTTAATAATTTGATATTAAGTATATTCATAAAATTTAATATATTCATTTCATATATTTATGATGACATTCAATTTTAATTTTTAGAAATTTCATCAAGACAATAATACAATCCTATAAAAATCGAATCCTTATCTGAATTCAATAAAGAGCTGCTTTTTCGTTTCCTAAAACCTAAAACTGTAGGAGAAATAACGTAAACGTTTCTCCACGCTACTCAATTTCTCCGTTTATCTATACGCTTAGTTTTGTCTATTTATGGACTTTTTCCCGATGTTTAAAGTAGAAATAAAAATCATGAAAAGAATAAAGGAGAATGAAAATAGAAGGAGGTAACAGTGGACGATTTCATGTATTATGGCTGCCAAAGGTTCGTCCCGATCAATCCGCAAAAAGATTCAGTGAAAAGGAATATCGGGGGAAAAAAGAGTTGCGGAGCGAATATAATAAAAAGTCCAACAGTAAATCGTTCTTTTCCTTCGTTTCACGTAGTCGAGATTTCAGCTGAATTTCAAAAGGAACAAGTAATGCGCGTTGCACACGAACCGCGCACGGACACAAATATATAGAGCGATCGTCGTTGGACATAATCGAGAAGTCGTTCAATAAAGAAAGAAAATTATAATGAGTTATATAGAATTTCTACGGCTGTTGGTATTTTTGAGATGCTACTGAATGATGGAGATATACATTTGTTGTCGGAGAGAAAACTTATTTTATGTTCGTAACTAAATTCTTCTTTCAAAAAATCTTTTTTAATGGTAATATTAGGGTTTTTCTATGTAAATATTCTTAACACAGAATAAGTAATTTGCCATGAGCATTTTATTAAAATTTTACTCTTATTTTGTAGTTGGAAATTAGTCTTAAATTTTAATTAAAGCTTACTTTAATCACTCGATTATATTGGGAAAAAACAAAAAGACTGAATATTTATTTAATTAATTTTTAATAACGGAAGTTTATTGATTTAATTCGCATCTTTTTATTCAAATTTTATCGTACTTTTTCAATAATAATGACACCAAACATATTTATTAATTATATATTATGAAACTAAAAATATAAGTTCTTAATTAGTAGCTGTTGAAAAAGAAAAATAATTTGCTAATTAGAATTTAAATAGTGGGATAACGGCTTATCTACGAAGAGCAATATTATATAAAACCAACCAACATAATTGAAATATCGAAGGAATGAAAATTTAACGTGAGGCATTACGTCAAGTAGACGTGCGTGAAGTAAGTAAATTTATCAGAAAAGGAAAAAAAACGAGTTTTTTGTAGAATTGAAGGAATAAAGAGTGAAGAATTAAGAGAATATGTCAACTGAAAACTGGTAGAAGCTCATTTTAAAAGCATAATACTTTTCTTAATAGTACGTGCTTTCAATTTTAATGTTCCCGATACTCGAAATGACTATAAAATGCGTACATTATGTAACTATTAGGATACACAAGTTTTGCTTTATATCTTTCGAAAACTGCCACTTACAGAATTTTATTGTCGCTGTAGTTCTAGTTTAGTGCAACTTTAATATTTCATTCTTTTAGCAAACTTTTGCCACTTATTTGTACGTGTACTTAC